CCCCCAATAAGCTTATTTTAGCAAGTAGGGTTATTAACTTCCCCAACAGAATTCCCCATAAAGTCTCATTTGAAAGGTTTTCCCCAGCTATTCTTTTCCTCGTTGAATTATCCCTAGAACCTTCCCCAACGGAGGATCATCCTAAAGGACCCACATTACTCTATCATAAGCATTGACCTTCGAATCCCTAGCAAACCAAGCTATTTCCTTTATCCAAGCATCAATCCTTGTACTAATCATATTCCAACCAAGATACCGACCTCTTTGTTGGTAAATATCTCATTTTCTCTGGCCTCGTCCATAATTCTACTTCTCTCTGGTTTGTTCGAAATCCTTTCATTATCTCTGGTCTGTCCTGAATCTTTTCATTATCTCTGGTTTGTCCAGAATATTCTTATTTATCTTTTTTTCTTCCCAAATATTTTCATCATCTCTGGTCCATTCGAAATATTTTCTTCATCTCCAGTCCGTCTGAAATCTTTTCATACCCCAATTTTGTTCGGGTTTTACTATTATATGGGTTTAAGCCGCATTTCATTTTGGATGAATGAGATAAACCATTTGGTAGTGAAGTGAATTCAAGGAGTTACAAGTGTGAGGTCTTGGATTCGAAACTCATCTTTTCCATTATTAGTGCATTTTTCTCCTTTTACTTTTTTATATTCAAAATCACAAAAAATCAAAATTTACATTATTATTTTTAATTTTTGTTTTTTTAGTAAAGAATTTTTTTAAAATTTTTTTTTAATTTAATTTATGCACTTTTAGTCCAAAAGAGTCCAAAGCACATAATAAATATATAATATTTTCCATTTTTGTCATAGTTGCTTTCTATTGGTCACACTATTGTCATCCTAACTTCTGATTGGTCAACTTTTTGACCAAGAAATAATCAGATATTATCTAATTTAAATTCAAGTATTATTTGATCAAATCTGGATGAGATTTAATTTTATTTATTTATTGGTCTTTTAACCTAATTTATTAACCCTATAAATAGAGTCACGTTTTCTCACATTAGGGGGTCACTGACTATCCACACTAAAAAAATACATGATATACCTCATTCCTAAAACCCTTGTAAAATTTCATTAGTCAATATTTGTTAAATTTTGAATCAAATCTTGTATATTCACGCATTAGAAACCAAGTTCTCACACATTAACCCCTAAAAGACTACATGTTTTCCTTCACTTTTTCCATACTGTATAAAAAAAAAAGATCGCCATCTTGACCAAAGGGCTTCTCTCACCACGTCTCTTTTGCCAGTAAAAGTGCAAAACCATAAAAAATTAAAAAAATAAAAAACAATATGTTTTTCTAGCCCTCTTTCAAGTTTTACAATGGGAGCATTATCATCACCCATAGCCTCACAACCATATCCACATCATACCATTGACAACAACTTCAAAAACTTAACTAAATTCGCACATAGACCATCACCATCAAATTCTTACTTTCATACAACATTGAGCCAAAACCTTTCATCACAAAACATAAAAACTTCACTTTCAATCAAATTCTACCTTCCAACTCAAAATATCATAAACCAACTCCATAAACCAAAATCAGTTTTCACGAAATCATAAGCTAGAACCAGTAAAATATAAATCAATCTAACCATGTGCATCATCAGTTGTTCATAAGCAGTAACATCACAACAACACTTCATCCTAAAGGAGGAGAAAAGGATATTTCCTCCTAACTTCACTCGTTGGAGCTCCAACGTGACTCACACTGGCTAGTAATGCACCTCCCCCGATGCGAAGGTCCATCGACGGCCACCCTCCCACGCAACACTTCACTGATATTCCCTCTACCATGCTCATTTTCACCCTATATCTTGATCCGCACTTGGCTGATAATGTACCCACAGATGAATGTATGCAAAGTCACATGTCATGCGTACAAACAGGTGCAATATTGAATGCCACCCATGCAAAAATTAACACCATTTATGAAAATTGGACGGAAAGGACTTAAATGACATTGCTTGAAGACATAAGGGACTAAATTGACACTTTTAAAAATTAAGGGACCAAAATGGATCCCGAGGTAAAGATAATAGACTAAAAGGGGTATTTTTCCTAGATTTTATCATGTTATTGTTGTTTGTTTTTTTTGTTTTGAATTTCTTGTAACACAAAGATAAGAAGAGAGAAGAAGAAAGCTTGAGAGTGAGGTGAGGAGGGGAGACTTTGGGAAGTCATAAACGAGAGACTACTTTAATGTTTATTTTTTTCTTAACATATGTTGTTTTAATTTTGCATAAAAATCATATGCCAAATTTAAATGTTTCATTGATGGTGGGATTGCAAATTTGAAAAGAGGGAAGTAGAGAAAGAACCAGATTGCACCCATGTTTTCAAGTGGTGTTCTTTTTTATTTTTATTTTTATATTATTTATGTATTTATTTATATTAGGCTTTTAGTAATTTTGTTGGGCCTTGGGCCATCTTCCATTTTTTCTAACTTACACCTCTCATGCTAAATTAACACCTCTTTTAGGTTTGATTCTATCTAATTAATCTCTTTTTATTTACTTAGACATTTAGAATTTTTATTTAGTTACTTTATTTTCTTAGTTAATTAATTTAACAATTTATTTAGGTTAATTAATTTTATTAATTATAATAAGATAAATAATAAATACAAAAAAAAATCAAAATGCAAGAATCCAAAAAATAAGTCCTTCATTTTTATTTAGTTACTAGGTCAAAAAACTAATAACAAAGAAAAGCAATCTCACACATTCAAATCTACTTCACTCATCAAATCTCTTTTATGCTCTCGTGCACTTAGCTCAATTAAAAACACTTTAAAATTAACTTTCACCTTATGTGACAAATTATTTTCATAAATTTAAATGAACCAACCAACAAATGGTTGAACTACGTAGACTCCGATTTTCTCATCACTCAATGAGAATACATAGGCACAAGTTTTTGAACCCCTTGCGAGTCCCCTAACCTAAAACTAACTTTTCCCTCCTTTAATTCTTCTTTTTGTAAATATTAAGTAAATAAAATAAAAGTATAAATAATACATGCAAACCACCCTTAAGACAAACAAACTTAACCATAGGCTATAGGAGGTCCCCATTGAGTACAACAAAGGTGATAGAAGCCTAACACCTTCCTATCACTTAAATGACTCACATACCCATATTTGGCTGTTATGACCATCTTATCCATTTCTCTTTAGGGTTTTGACATTATTTCCCCATTCTTTAAGAATAACTAAAATATTGTGGTGACTCTGTTATATTTAGAGTGTGCGATCCACTCGAGTATTTTTCGTGGTGCGACAAATAAACCCATAAAGACAAAGAGTGATTTTGTCTTCACTTCTAAGTGTGTCTATATCCATCATAATTATTTTTTATCTTCTTATCTAGAATAACTTCTTGATTATAAATTCATTTCAGGTTCATTCTCATTTTTTGTTGCATCTTGTCCTTGTGCAATTTTTTGTTGATTTGAGTGAATTATAGAGATGAAGTTGATTGACCTTGATGTGTTGTTCATGATTAATCAATCTCTTAATAACAAATATAATACCCATTTACCCATAAATATGAGAGAACCTTGTGTGTGTGTGTGTGTTCTTCATTCACATTCATCTAAACCCTTAACTACCATCTTGTGTCTTTAGAGTGATTTTAATATATTATGGAACTTTTTATCATCTTAATCATTAGTATTTTTCCATTTTTAGGACCACCATCTATAAATTTTGAGTGTTGAGGGAGACTAGTGATAACTTAGGGTATCTACTATTTTTGTGTGAAGTTTTCTATTTATTATAGGTGCACATAACATTTCTTGAATTCAGTTTGGTATTTGTTGTTATTTATCAAGAAGAGCGTTTAATTATACTCCAAGGAAGACTTTGGTGAGATCTAGTATCATTTGTCTGTAAGGAGGAGGTGGAAGTTGTCCATCTTTGGTGGAGTTGGAGAAAGATTTCTCGTAGGCAAAGTTGTGAGTTATCCAATCAGTGCTTAGCTAATGGAAATCTCTTAGACAAGATATTTGTGGGATCATGTAGATTTCCACATATGAATACTTGGAGAAGGATTAATGTGGATAGTAAGGTTATTGAATCAAAATATTTAATCTTTTAGAGATCTTGTTTTTGTTAGCAGTTGAGTGTCTATATCAACAGAGAGAACTATCGTTTGATAGTTTATTGTAACCAAAATGCTTGTAATTAAATTTATCAAAATAGTTAAAGATTTTGATTATTTCCCCATGGTTTTCAACACTATTAAAGAGTGGAGTAGGTAAATCGGGGACAAATGTTGAACCACTATATATCTTTGTGTATCTTTTCTTCTTCCCTTATATTTTTTTTAATTTTCTAGTACTCATTATTTTGCTATTGCATAAGTGCATCATTATAATAATTGTATGCCACATAGGTTAGACATTGCTTATATAGATTTATTGTATATGCTTAGGTATATGGTGTATCAATCTTATTGAAGTATCATGAATCCAATTATGTCTTGATAGAATATCTATGCTAAGAATTGTTGCACTCTAAAATTTTCCCTCCTAATTTCTTTTATCTGGATTATACGTTTGCATTCATCTGCATATATTCCATTAGGTCATTAACGTAGCATGTATTGCATTCAATAAAGCTCTTGAGGTTTAAGGTTCAGTGGACGTGCAATATTAGGGTTTTACACTGGTTAAGACATTTGTATCCAATAAAGGATGATTTATTCTTCAAGTAATGAGCAGTGAAGTTAGGTTGTGAGTCGTGGTTAAGAATTTCTTATGCGTCAAGCTATGAGGCCATTCTCCGCCAAGTTTCATCAGTTCCAGTGATTAGGGTTTATTTCACTATGTATAACATGAAATTAGGGTTTTATCACAGGGGTGTATTTCTATGCTTCTGGTTTCATCTGAGTCAAAGGATTTCCTCAAGGGTTTTAGCTTTGCATTTTCAAAACAAGGTGTTTGTGGATTGAATTACTAAAGCTTTGAGCCATGGGACGAGATATGAAATTGTGGGTTCATTCTTGATCAAGGCAATCTCGTCATTGTTAGTTGAATTAAGATTGAAGTTAGGAGTTCATTGAGAACGTAAGTGTGATTTGGATTTGAAGTTTGATTTGAATTCAAGATGTTCGAAATGTCGAAGGCGGTTGATTGGACCAAAGTTGACAAAGAGCCTTAAGTATTGGTCGTGTGAATTTCTTGGAAGGTAAGGTACAAATTGAAAGGTCTTTTTCAAGTCGAAGTTCATCCGTATTACAAATATGTTCATTGTTATTCAAGATTCAAGTTCATATGAATTCAAAGTTTATTCAAACCCTTTCATTCATGATTCAAATAAATTCTATCTGATTCCATTCAAGTTCATTCAAGTGTAACAATACCTTACAATAAAATTTAATGTTTTCATGGCTTTAAGCATTTTTACCATAATCCCTTTAAAGTTCAAGTTTCAATACTTTGTCATTTAAACTCTGTCCATAAATTTAATCACCCGACATTTCAAGCTTAATTCAAATTCATCTTTACTCATTCGCCAAAAAAGGCAAAGTTTATCATTATCAAAAACTCATGTTCATTACACATTTCATTCAAAAGAAAGACTAAACATTCGAGAGGTTCTTATCACAAGTTACCATATTCAAAGTCTGTTACAAGTTGTATCCAAAATACATTCTAAAGACTATTACAAATAACAATGCAATTTTTAAAGAACATGTGAAAAGTTGTCTTCGTGCTTGTGATTATCTATGCTCCAACTTCAAGTGTCTTCAAGCTACAACTTTGACATCAACAAATAGTTCCAATATCACCACCTGTTAACCAAAATTAAAACCATCCCTGTTGGAAATTCCAAACAAAAAAGGGGTTAACAAACAAAAACTATGCTAACTTGCATTTTTTATCAACCAACATCCAGCTCAAGTTCATCAAAAGAAGAAGAAGAAGAAGAAGAAGAAGGAGTAGGTTGTTATCTAAGAGAAAATTGTACTAACCCTGCATCAGTTTTGAAAAAACAGAAAGAAGATCACAAAAAGAATCAGTATCTGGTACCTCGTGTTACAGGCCTGTGTACTCGTGCCAAGGCTTTTTCATAATCATACGCCATCAAAACAACCGTTCAACGTGCTTCAATCATCTATAATAGACCTGATGTGGCTTTACGCCTTAACCATAATAAAACTTGCATATAACCAGTAAATAAACCAGCACATATCAGTTATACATAAACCAGATCCAAACAATTAACCATTAATTCACGCGTAATCCCTATGGAAAAATACTGAAACGGTCTGTTATTCATCATCACAAAAAACATCTCAGCATCTCTGATTAATCCATAAACCAGTTTACCCATATTTGTTCACCATGATAGCTGCAGAAGCTTAAATTCAGAACCTTCTAAGAAACTCTATAAAGCTGTTGTTGGATATGTGGGGTTATCTGAATCAGTATTAAAGGCCCGATTTCTAGAATGTGCGGATTCTCCTAAGCAAGTGAATGGTTATGATTGCGGCTATTATGTCATGGCCATAGCAAGAGTGATATGCGACTGGCGTGTAAATAGTGAAAAGACTGGTGCAAACAATTCGTGGTTCTCTGTTGTGAAGGAACGAGTTACTTCATCTTCTGTTGACTGCATGCGAACTAAGATTCTAGTGTTTATCAGAGATCTAATGGCAAAGCGTTCAGGCCAGCAAACTAATTTCTCAGCCTAAGCCTAATCAACAAACTTGCTAACAGACTTTTTTTTACATAGTAACTAATTTCTAACAATTTTTTTTATCCTAACTAACTCAATAACAAAACGAATTTCCATCTCATCCTAACAGAACTAACCGAATTAAACTAACCTCCTAACTGTTTTCTAACGTCCTCTAACAACTCTAACCATCTCTAATATAACAGAAGTATAAAATAGAATTGCTGACCTTCTTCAATGTCTTCTTCATTCTCTTCAGAAGAATCATAGAAAAATCATAAGGGACTTTCCCATTGAATCACATCTTGATCACGCCTTCTTCTTTCATCTTTCTCTCTCCTCCTCTCTTCTTCATCTTCATCTTCTCTCTACTCTCTCTCCATAACTGCATCACTGCACTTCCATCTTCATCACTCTTCATCAGCCACTTTGTTTCTCTCTGCACACTCTGTTTCATCTTCAACCTGCAACAAACTGCAATACATCAATATCGTTTGAACCGCTTCATACAGAACAACAAAAAATGCAACGCACACTTTAGCACTAACACAAAGTGCAAGAGCAGTGACTACAAAGCACAGACGCTGAGAAACAGAATTGTTAATGAAGTGATAAGGGGAAAAATAGTGATCGAAACACATACCTAAATTGGTTTATCCATATTTCTCGTTGTTATTGGCATCAAAGATACACCATACCGTCTCTGGAAGGTAATATTATTCGACCTCTTCCCCTTTAGCATAGGTTGTGTGTTGTTGTTCGTTTAGTCTGTTTGAATTGATAACAAAGAAGACATCATGTTAACCTCCACCATGAACTTGAATAAGAAGACGCAGTTGAGAAGATAAAAGTGGCAGACGAAGCCGGTTCTAAATTGCAAATGGATGTGAAGTTGTCAGTTTCTTTGGAATCGATTGTGTGCTAGTGTATCAACGGGTTCGATGGGATCAAAGTTGAGACGTTTGATTATGTGATGAAGAGGAAGGAGGCTCTTCTCTGGAGAACGGAATCAGAATAAGACGAAAGGAAATTAAACAGAGAGGATGATAGATGTAGGTTCAGAACTACATAACGAGGCCAGGTATTTGGGTTCCGGATGTCTGTAATCTCCGGAGAAGAATCACACCCCCTTGGGCCTATTTTTCCTTTTAGTAATTTCTTTTAAAAATTTTGTGAATTGTTTATGTTTTTTAACTTTTTTCCATATGATAAAAAATAATAAAATCAATAAAAATTTTATATTTCTTTAATGTGATTTTAGGAATTAAATCCATATTATCTGATTATACTTGAGATTTGTAATTCACCTTTGCTTGTTGAGATCTGAGTCTTATGCGAGTTTATTGGTGAAGCATATCTTATGCGAGTTTATTATACTTGAATTAAATACATATTTTCAATTGTGATTTCTTTTCACATCGATGATGCTTTGACGCTTATTCCGATCATTTGATTTTTTACTATTTTCTATGATTGGTGAAGCTTTCGCAAAGATCGTCAGGTTTCTTTGTTTTGATATGCTTTGCTACGGATTGATATTCGTTTGGTATAATCTCTTATTATCTCATTCATCACTTTATTGCTTTCTAGATATCATGAGAAGTAGGAACTTTACTGCTTTCTAGATATCATGAGAAGTAGGAAATAAAGAGTGTGTGGTCAAAGTCGTTGTTTAAAGTTCTGTAGCAGACACCGGTTTCTGTATGCTATTTGTGTTTGTTTAAAATCCTACCTTTGAAGTAGGTATTTCACACGTGTGTTTACATTTGCATCCACATTATATTACAGATAGTAAGTCCTCAAAAGGAGGAAAGCGGGGAGGGTTAGTAATCAATCTCCGCACATTTTAGTTTGTGTCATCCTTAGCTCATGTTATACATCGATGCTTCGGAGTCGTGCATATCATGTGTATCGAGTCAGTCATGTGGGGAAGAACTTTGTCAGGAGTTCGTAATGGCCATTGTTGATACTCTTCTACCCGCTTATTTGCTTCGGGTGATACGCTGCCCTTAGCTAAAGCATTTCTATTGTTACTCCCATCATTTTGAGTCAGTATGTTTGTGTGCTTTTTCCAAAGCACTTGTTTGCTTATTTGTTTGATATACCATGCTTCCCTTATGATCGCTCAATTAGAGTAGCCTTCGAGCTAGACATTAGGACATGTATCCATGCATGCTAACATAGGGTAGAGATTTCCCTTTCATCCTCAACCTTAGGATTAATCATTGTATGATAACATTAGGGATAGATTTCATCAGTCTCCCTTAGATGTTTTTCTTTCTTTTGCATCCTTGCATTAAGACTAAAAATATTTTTTCTTGAAAAATGCATAAAACATCTAACAACTTTCAAATCCTTCTTTAAGGTAAAAGATATCAACCAATATAAACTCTTTTGCACCTTCGGGCTTGTCTTTCAAACTTTTGCAAGAGAACATGTTAATTCATTTTTGTGCTGACGCGTAGTCTCCAAAGGTCGAGTTGCGGCAGAAGGCAAAATTAATATTATTCATTAAAAAATACAAACCAACAGAAACTTTTGAGTCGAACTACGGTAACTATGATTCCTCAAAAAGGATATGTAGGCATTAGGATAGGTTCCAAGTGAGCACAACTTTATTTTCCCTACATTATTTTCTCATTTCTTTTGCATGCATTCTTCCTCAATATTAATCAGTAAGCATAGATTAGACACACCCATAAGATAGATAACAATAGTGGATATCGTAGAGTACTACGGGCGTGTGGGAGTGCTAGTACCTTCCCCTCGCATAACAAACTCTCTTACATGTATCTCTTGGTCATTCAACCTTGATTTTACCCTTCTCAAGTTTACTCGATGTTTACCTTTCCCTTCCCGTGGGATAAAAAATGTTCGATGGCGACTTCATTGATTTCATCTTGATGACTTGTTAAGCCGGTTGTTTCAAGTGTTTTGAAATAACTTTGTTTAAAGAAGCTTTGGTTATTTAGTGATTTACTTGCATTAGAAGAAATCAAATACTTAGTAACATTATGTATTATTTCCTTTGGTTTAATTTATTGAGATGCTTGCAAGCTCTCTTGCTTTTGTGTTTGGCTTTTGCGCTTCTTAAAATCTCTAATTTTGTATATGGGGCCTAAAATGTTTTTGAAATTATATTAAAGGGAAAAAGGTCTATTCAACCCCCCATCTCATATATCTCTGCGTGTCCATATTCTCACCCAACAATTGGAATATGGTCTTGGTTTTTGATCAGATTCTTGCGACTCCAAAAGTTAAGGATATGGTTCCTTCGATCCTAGACAAATTTTTCTAATTGATCGGAAGCTTATGCAATTAAATAAATTCCAATAAAACTACATTAATTTACTAATGATTGGTTATTCATTACAATGCATTACATGGATTAACTCAACGTAAAACCTTACTAGCATATTCTTCAAACATTAATTGTATTTAAGATATTCTCTATCTTTTTATTCATCAAGGATTGAACTAATAACATTTTAAGGTATATGCAGTATGTATTTGACATCATGTCTTAAAGGTTGTCCGTGATGAGTCCTAAGCGAAGATGGATGTACATTCACTTTATATATGCTGGAAGTTTTATGAGATAAAAGAAGGAAACAAAAGCATCTTCTAAGTGGCCTATTCTTCCAAGGTTATCGTAAAAAGAAGGCGAAGGAAGTTTTATGGTTACCGGCAATGATTCTCCGAAGTTTCTATAATTACAAAAGATTCAAGGATAAAAGTATGCTCTTTGAAGTGCTATCAGTCGTCAAAGAGTTGAATCAGTTATTCGGGATTGACAAATTTTGTCAATCAGTGATAATTAAACTATTGTCATTCTAAGTTAATCTTAAGCCTTATGAAGGAGAGTCTAATAGTATTTTTCGGACACGCAAAAGGAGTTGTATCCAATTAGTATAAGATTTTTCGTATTTTAAAGCTTATGTTATTTTTTTTATGAATAATTGTTCTCGTGTGCAGCAACTTAAGCCTAGACTATTTAAATTGGCATGATTGTTCCAACCCTCCTTTATTGCTTTTGTGTATGCATGGCTGTATTTATCCAACTTTCCTAGGTGTGTTGTATGATTGAAACATGTTCGCGTATGTGATACTTTTGTGTATCTCATGCCTTAATCATACATCCACTCAATTCATCATTTTAATTCTTATTTCTCCTGCTCATTCCATTCATTTGCATTATTGATGCATTCATGCATCATCATTCAAATTTGTGCATCAAAATTGTTTTGGAGTTCACAACAATACATATTTCATTAAAAATCCTTTTGAGCATTTGCATTAAATGGATGAGTTCTTTGCATTCATACATAACATTAAAACTTATTTATCATTTGCATTAAAGTTACTTTCCATTATTAAAAATAATTTGATTCGAAAAATCTCATTTCAACAAGTTCTTTTTTCAAATTTGGAACCCATGATTAGAATCATAAAATTTTTCCTATACATTTGATTAGAATCAAATCCATGAGGCCTGAATCCATTTGGGTTTGTTCGTTTTGATTCGAATCAAATATTGCACTTGATTTGAACCAAAATGCTTTTTATTTAAAAATTAAATCCCTTGATTTGAATCAAGTTTTACACATGATTCGAATCATAACTTAAAAGTTACACTTATTTTAAAATTCATTAAGATTTTCTTTTCATTTTCTCATCATTTCTCCAAATCCCTCTTTAGAAAAAAATATTTTCATCATCATCAAATATTCATAGCATCATATCATCTTTATAAATCATCATCATCATCATCATCATCACTTTATTACTCGAACCCTTTGTCCCAACATCATTAATGGCTTCTTTCAGCACTCAGAAGAGTTTCTCTGGCAAGCAACATGGCAAGAGACCCATGGCATCTTCTCCTACACCAGTTCCTAACAAAGCAAAGACCATGTTTCAAGCGAGCAAAGCAACACCTAATGCAAGGATTAATAAGAAGTCATCCAAGGATTAAACTTTTGAAGCTCTGTGTTATAAGGTAAAACCTCTTTTCCATGAGGATAGTTTGCAGCTTTGACAAGAAAAGTTTTTGAACAAACCAGTTGATCTTGAGTATTATGTTGATGCGTCAACTGAGATTGAACTGAAAGCCAAAATTTTGAAACCATTTTATTTTCATTATCCATTGAAATTTATTGGGATGAACAAGAAATATAATCATGATTATGTTAAAGCTTTCTAGTGTAATCTTGTGTAAACTCATACCGGCATTGAAAGTAGGTTCAAGGACAAAGTTGTTACTTTTAATTATATGGATTTCACTAAGTATCTTGCATTGACTTATTCTGGTTCTGATATGGTTGTTTCAAGATCATTTGAGTATGATAGGATTTCTTTTGTTCTCTCCATCTAAAAATCTGTTTGTGAAAGTCCATCCATGTCAAACTTTGGCATCAATAAGTTTGATATGCGCTTGTTGCACTGAATTAATGTAATAATTATTTACAAGAAACTGAGAAAATGAGGAAAAGCTAATGACAATCATATGTATTTTATGTGGGATCTCATTGATAATAGTGTACTTAATTGGGTGAAGTTCGTTGTGGACCAAATGATTCATTGTAGGGGTAACTCGAAGAGACCTTTGTTCTTTTATTCTTTTGTGCAGTTGATCCTTAAGGTCAATGGAGTTGTCTTAAAAGAATAAGATTAGATTGAGACACCAAAGATTTTGGATTATGGTGGTGTTTCAAAAATGAGATATTATAGGGATTCAAATTGTAACTATTACTACCTCGATGAATCTGTCTAAAAGGTGTATGATAACAAGGTTGTGGATTCTTCTAAGGATCCATTTATTGAGGCTACTGGTTCTTCTTCTTTTGATTCACTTTCTTCTAATTTGAAGTCTTACCTTGATGAGTTGGTTGGAATGCTTTGGATGACAACTAGATTAGGGAAGAAAGGATTATGGTACGTGTTTATTCGGTGGCTTGGGAAAGTGAAGAAAGTAAGGTATAAATGAAGATTGATTTAAGGGTTGAGCTGAAGGAAGAGATTCAAGCTTCTGAAGCTCAAGTGATTGCTCAAGTGGAGTATGTTATATCTGTTTTTGACCACCTGGGTGGAGCTAACGATATGTTTAATATTGGTCCTTCTGATATTGACATTGACCCCTCTATTGAAGGTACAATAAACACAAGAAACGGGAGTTTGAATTGTGTTTCCAAATTTTAAAAACTTTTATACTTCCCAAACAAACAAGGATGAGACAAGAATAAAAATAAATTAACACAAGTATTTTTATCCTAGTTCATTGTTAACGAAGTTAATCCAGTCCAACCACCAAGATAATTTTCCTTTCTCAACAATAACATAATCCACTATAACCAAACTGATTATAGACACAAACAAAGACTACTCGTCAATGTTTACAAACCAAAAAGACTAATCGTCAATATCTTCTTGAGAAATTCTTACTATACCCTAGTCTCTCAAGGAAAAATCAACTCCAAGGTTGAAATATAAAGTGTCTTTACAAAGATGCTTCTTAGAAAGCAAATTACACAAGTTGAAATACAAAGAAATAACACAACAATTTTAATAGAAAGTTGAATGAACAAAAGTTCCTTGATTGCAAGTTAACGAACAAATGTTCCTTGCTTTACAAAATTTTACACAAGATATATTTCAGTAGAAATTTGAGCAATGTTTAAGCAAAATGTTTAGCGTGAAAAGTTCTTATTTCCAATTCTTCAAAGTATTCCTTTTATATCCAAAAATAAATCTGTGATACGGTGCGAGAACTGACTATGAGTTTTGCGTTTGTATTCGCACTTGTTCGGTTGAGCAAGAGTCGCCACCGACTTTTTATTTTATCCTAAAGGAAAGGTTAAAAAAGAACAGCAAAAACCTTTTGAGATATTTCGTGGGTTCGGGGGGTAGATTATGAAAAGGGAAGGTATTAGCACCCTTTTCATCCATGGTTATCCATGGGCTCTTAGTTACTTGGTTTTTTAGATCACTTGCCTTGATTTTCGATTGCTTGAAAATGTGGTGTGTGTGTGTGTTTTTGAAAATGTTTTTGAAGAAGATGCCTTGTCTTAGGCTACCCTTGTAATAATTCTTTACTCGAATGTTTTACAAAGGTGTGTATCTTTTCGAAAAGATGTTTCAAATGTTTTTGAGAGTTTGTTTTGAAAGTGTTTGTGGAGTGTGATTTTTGAAAAGAAGGCAAGTGTTTTTGCAAGTTGATCTCAAGTAACTAAGAGTTTTGTCTACCCTATTGTACTCAAAGGTTTTCTCTATGTTTTCAACCCTTTTTTTAACAATTTTGTTCCACCATTGAATTTGGTGGACAATCTTGCATTTAGGATGTTTAACGGGACGGGCGCGGGTCATCGTATGGACCATGAATGCAATGATGCCAAGTGTCTTTGGCAATTTGCTTTGAAGGGACTATGATCATTCCATTTAGGCAACTTTCGAAAGCGTCATCGAGGGACTTATGATCATTTGAATTCGTTTTGCCAAAGATACTTGACGTGCAAGCATGGCCCATTTTGGAAGGCAACATGTGGGATTACCCTAGAGGGTGCAAGTGTGATTGTGCATTGATTTCATGTATTTGTCTTGTATTAGGTTATCTAGCGTTTGATTTTATGTACATGCAAACCCTAGGTCTAACCATGGTATAATTGAAAGCGGTAAATTGCAAGAATTTAAAGTCTACGCTATTACAAAATAAGTATCCGGGAGTGGAGGTACAAATTTACGAATGGGGATGAGACTTAGGAATGTAGTGTCCAATAGATTACAACCAAATCGAATCGATCAAATGTAAATGTAACGAATATACAAAAATAAGCAAATGTATAATGTATCAAATATAAGTACATTGTGTAAGTGTATGTGTATATGTGTATGTAATTATTTACAGGTGCGAAAATGTGAATTTAAATGTGTATTATTAAGGTATGGTTAACTTAAAGAAAAGAATTAAATGTTTGTTTAATTAGTCTTTGTAATCTTGTATATTTCTTTAATATGTACAAATATTTATTTACTAAAAGAAAAGAAAAATGTTTTAATCTTAACTAAATTATGTTTATTAAAAAAAGTATTTTGTCTTGGTTATGTACAAATATTTCTAAAAAGAGAAATATATCAACTTAGTGAAAATTTATGTATAACTTTAAATAAAAAAGTGTTTTTTAAATAATGTATTTTTATGTATTAAGGCATTAAGATATTAATGTAAAAAAATATATTAAGTTAGAGAAAAATATATTGTGTTTAAAATTATGTTATATAAAAAGTTTGTGTTAATTTATTAACAAAATAAAAAAAAGGGTTAAGTTGATTTATTAATGAAAAGAAGATAAAATCTGTTTTATAAAAAAGTTAAAGTTTTTGAATGGGCCTTTGGGAGGTTATGGCCCAAACAGAAGAGAAATGAGGGGGGTGTATGAAGGGAAAACAAAAAAGGCTTGGGCGCTGGAGAAAGGGCAAGGCCCATCAAGCTTGGCAAACGTTTTAGGGTTTTGATTATTGTTTTCATTTGAAACGCGTTAGGGTTACAGAAACAGAAGCGCGCCACTTGTGGTTACTGCGTTCGTCCTCTTCCACCTTCGCCTGAGTTCCTCTTGCCCATGGCCACCAGGTGCTTCAGTCAGCTCCCTCTTCTCCAAGGTCGTGTAAGCAAAGGTCTACAAGGTACTGATTTTTATTTGGTATGTTTGACGCCTTCGCATGTTTTTATTTGCTCTTGATTCTTTTATGTTGTTCAATGTTCGCATGAGATGTGGAGAAGAAAGAAATAAAGGGTTATACCTTTTTTGGGAGAGGAGGTGAGGAGGACCGGAGCACCTAGGGCGGCCAAGGGCGGAGCGAGATGAGACGCGGTGTGAGCTAGTTCACTTTGCTGGATTTTGGTATTTATGTACCTTTCTTTAGGCTTTGTGATGTTTGTCTGAAAGCTTTTTGTTGATTTCACTTCTTTCTTCTTCGTTGACTCTTTGGCTTGCCTTGGAATATGTTTGTTGTATGCTGAGATTGATGGCTTTGTGCTTGATGCCTGTGTTGCCTGTTGAAATGCTTCTTTATCTCGTCTCTTAGTTGCCTTGGAACACTTGTTAGGGTTGCCTTTTGATTTTGCCTTGAGATGCTTCTTTTATTTGTCCCTGAGTTGCCTTGCTTCGAGTTGCCTCAGTATTTCTTTATCTCCTCCTTCTATTGCCTTGAATGTTTGCCTTTTTTACTGCCCAATGATGAGTTTTCTGAGGGCCCTGTGTTTGACACTGAGTTGCCTTATTGAGTTGATGATGGTTGGATGGTGTTGGAAGGTTATGTTGAATTCCTTTTGGGCTTGACAGGGCTCAATGGTTCATGGCCTTGTGAGGTTTCTATTGGTTTATGGTTTCTCAGTTTAGGCTTAACAGGTTTTTAGGTTGTGGCCTGGATTATTTGGTACAGGTTTGAGCTTCTTTGGTTCTTTAGGCTTTCAGGCAGGTTGGGTTGTGGTGAACTGGTTTTTTGTTGTTTGTGTTTAGGCAGGTATGAGAACTGGTGGTACAGGCTTATGCTTTGATGATAGGCATGTCTGGTGTTAAGCTTGAACACAGTTCAGGCTTGTGCTTCAGGTTTGAAATTGTCTTGCTTTTTTTTTGCAGGGGTTTGGCATATGCAGGTCTTGTAGAGGTTTTGGATGTTTGTTCTATATTGTTTTTCAGGTTTTAGGCTTGTGGAGTTTCACAGGTTTTAGGCTTGTGAGGTCTCAGGCAGGTATGCTGTTTGATGGTTAAGGCTGGTTTATGAGCTTTAGCAGGTTTGAGCTAATGCAGGTTTCAACCTTTGCTTGACAGGTTCTGTAGAGGTTTTGAAAGCTTTCTTTTGTTTTTTCTCCTCTCTGTTTGATATCTCTCCTCATTTGATATATCTTTCTACCGCTTTATATTTTCTTTTCCCCCCTTTTATCCACTGTGTTCAGTTTGTTTTATATTTCTCTTCATGCCTAAAGCCTAAGCCTGCAAAACCTGCTTTTCTTTTCTCTTCTCTCTCTCTCCAGTACACTTTTAAGCATTAAAATATGTTATGCTTTGTACTTTTTCTGAAAGGGAAGCTGTGGGAAATGATGAAATTGGTTGTTTGCTTGCATTACATGTTTCACTGCATATCCTTTCATATCTTCCAGATTTTGTGCTTCTTGATATCTTTCCAAATCTTCTTTTTTGATAGCTTTGAGTGGCCTTGTGACAGTAACTTGTACTTTGAAAGTTGTTGGATGGTTTGAAAGTTGTGATTCAGTTTGGACTTTCTGTTTGTATTGAACTATGCAGTTTGACAATTTTTGAATTGTGCAATTTTGACTTTTGTGCATTCATTTTTGACTTGCAAATATCCATCCCTCTTTGTGAACCAGGAGAAATCCCGTGATTTGCAAAGAGGGCTAACTGATCCCAAACAGTTTCCCTTAATGATGAACTTTATATCTGTCTCTATTTATCTGCAATTGACTTTCTTTCTCTTATTTGCAGACAAAAATTGAATGGAGGGGAGCAAAGGATAGCAGATGAAGAATTGAAGATTAGAAAAATATTTAGGATAGTTTTTATTTAAGTTTAAATTACTGTAAAATTATTGTTGTAAACAAATTGTAAACAATAATTGTACGAATAATTTAAAAGTAAATAAAAAGTTTTTATCCAATTAATTCTTTTTTATCCTTTATTGTTTATTTATTATTTAGAATTCTTTGAATTATAATAAATGGAAAATAAATTCCAATCTTTTAATCTTAGAATAATAAATAATTAAATAAACAATGCTTCAGCATTTGATCAGTTAAACCTGGCGTTTCAAACATCCAGAGCAAAACAACAGTCAATCACAGCAATTGTCCGGACGCTTTTCCCTCTTATGACTTTAATCAAACATCGCAAATTCAACCCCAATGCAACCCTTTATTGATTCAGTCAAACAATCGTGAATTCAATCCAAACGCATTCTTTTATTGATTAAGTTAAACAATGCGAATTCAGTCCAAATCTCGGAATAACTTGCAAAGCCTCGTAGAATTAAATCTTTCTGAGGAACCGCACACGAAAATCCTAATTCCTGATCAAATGCCAAAGAACATTCGCCTGATCAAAGTTGAGCCAAAATCAATCAAAACCCTAAGCCAACTGTTTGAAACATTCTAAAGCCCTGAGAATCAGTAAAACCCTAATTGTGTCTGACTGACGAGAAAAGTCCGTTTGACCGATCTTTGAGCCAGTTTGAAAAATCAGGAAACGCCTGAAGCTGTGATTTCTTGAGGAAAAATGCGAGGGCAAATTTTGGGGTACAACAAAATCCTTTAGATTGTAGAATAGGAATACTTAACTTCATTTGTCTTCTTCTATAACGATCAGTGAGAGTGGTAGACAACATCGTACCATAGTACAACCCTTGTGACAAAAAATCAAAGTAGTCTAAACATTTGATCATATACCATGTACTATTTACTCACGTTAAACATTTTTGATCTTATATTCTAATCTTCAGAGGCTTCAGAATATGTGTTGATGAAGCATGCTTAGAAGGACCAAAAACAACAAAGAGAATCTTCAGATCCCATGTCTTCAGAGTATTTAGAACTTGTTCTTTCAAGAAATTTATCTTTAGAGTCTTCAGAACTCCGGTCTTCAAAATCTCAGAACTTGGAAACGCATGATCTTTAGAACCTTGTCTTCAGAGTCTTCAGAACTTGTTCACCAGAACCTTGTCTTTAGAGTTTTCAGAACTTGGTCTTTAGAACTTCAGAGCTTGAGAAGTCATAACATAAAATCTTTGGACTAACGTTCATCAAAACTGTTGTCTAGAGACATTACAGAACTTGGATAGATCTTAGTAGCATGTTCTTGAGTATCTCCAGAGTCAAAATGTGTTGATTCAGAAATTGATGATGTCACACGATCTTTTATCAGGAGTCAGAACCTGTTTAGAAAAAGCAACACACTAGACAAAACCATTAGGGTACAAAATTGTTCTCTTAAAAACAATATATTGTTCTCATCAAAGCTAAAAGCCAAATGTTGAACCAAATCTTTTTCTTACATCTATTCCATTCCAGATGACAGTATTATTGTTGTTGTACCACCATCTGATGAAGCTGACATTCCATGATTTTTATTTTTATTTTTTATGCATAGCATAGCATCATCATTTTATGAATATTTATGTCATTTTGGTTGATTGGTTGACTGTGTATTTTGATCATCTTTGACTATATTTTGGTTTATGTATCTGGTGGTGAGTTTTAGTCATGTATATATGATATCTCTGTGATTATCTATATGTTATCTGTTTCTTTGTATCTTTCTTAAATTGTGTATTTGTGATAGTTAATTTCGTATGCAATTTAATTGGTGATTATTTAGTTCACTTAGTATGACATCCTATTTTGACTTGTATTCTATCTTGGATTCAATTGGTTAAATTTTTTTGTTTCTCTCTATTTTCTCTCATTTTGATATTTTTCAAAGGGGGAGAAGGTATTAATATACTATCAATATTCACACACATTAAATGTTTATGCAAGGGGAGCTTTACAACTTTTACAACTCAAGCGAAGAAATGTACATTAATACACCTGATTCATTTCATCCATCAAAGTCTAAATAACACCTTGAAGAATTGATCAACAATAATATATCAAATTTTCCAAACATCAAAAGGGGGAGACTAAAAGTGAAGTCACAATATCATATGGTATCACTTATTTGTTTTGATGTTTTTGTCAATTTGATATAAGTATCTTAGTACTTGCGTGTTTGTAATTTGATTTTATAATCGTGTGCTTGTATTCTATTTGCATTTTCATTTGTAATCACTTTGGATATTACTTTGTTGTATAACTAGAACCACCTTTACTCATTTAATAAGAGTGTTTGATCCTTGATATTATTGATTTTTGGGCCTATCTAGCTGCTACTTTGTCATTTCATCAAGCATAGCTTGAATCACAAGTTAGAACGCTTAAATCTAGATTTTCAGTCATTTGATTTGAATCAAATGTAATACATGATTTGAATCATAAGTTGTGTGAAAAATGGGAAATGCCTCTGGAGTATTAGATTCGAATCACAAATCAAACTTGATTAGAATCACAACCTCATGTGATCCAAATCAAGTGCAAAAATTTATTTGAATCAACTGATTTCATGAAGCCATATTTTGGCTCTGCTCAAATTGATTTGAATCACAGTTTTCACTTGATCTGAATCAAAGCTTCAAGACTCATTTCTCATCCTTGATTTAAATAGTTGTTTCTTTGATGAAAGTAACAAGTGACTGAAACATATGGGAGAAACCCATAGATACAAAGAGTGATTTTGTCTTCTCTTCTTAGTGTGTCTATACCCATCACCATGATTCTTTCCCTTCTTATCTAAAACAACTTCTTGATTATGAATTCTTGTTAGATTCATTTTCCTTTTTTGGTGCATCACGTCCTTGTGTAATTTTTTGTTGTGTTGAGTTAATTAGAGTTGGATTTGATTAATCTTGATGTGTTGTTCATGATTAATCAATCTCTTGATAACAATCAAATTCGATACATATTTACCAGAAATTTGAGAGAACCTTGTGTGTGTGTTCTTCATTCAAATTCATCTAAACTGTTGACTAAAACCTTGTGTATTTAGAGTGATTGTGAGATATTTGGGCATTGTTCATCATCTTCATCCTTAGCCGTTTCCATTGTTGAGGACCTTCATCTCTAAAGATTTAGTGTTGAAGGAGACTAGTGGTACATTATGGTATCTAATGTTTTTGTTTGAAGTTTTCTATTTATTATAGTTGCACATATCATTTCTTGAATGCATTTTGGTGTTTGTTTTTATTTATCAAGAAGAGAAATTCATTATACTCCAAGAAAGACTTTGGAAAGAACTAGTATCAGCTATCCGTAAGGCGGAGATGGAAGTTGTCCATCTTTGGTGAAGTTGGAAAAAGATTGCTCACAGACAAAGTTGGGAGTTATACAATCAATGCTTAGCTAATGGCAATCACTAAGAAAATACATCGGTGGGATCAGGTGGATTGCCACATATGAATACTTGAATTAGGATTACTATGGATAGCTAAGTTATTGGATCAAGATCATTTAGATATATTGTTTTTATTAACATTTGAGTGTCTGCATCAATAAAGGGAATTATCGTCTGATAGTTTGTTGTAACCAAAATGCTTGTAATCGAACTTATCAAAATAGTGGAAGGTCGTGATTACTTTCCAATGGTTTTCAATACCATTGAAGAGTGGATTAGAAAAAGTGTGGATGAATGTTGAACCAATATATATCCTTTATGTATCTTTTCTTCTTCCCTTATCCTGTTTTAGTTTTCTAGTATTCATTATTTTGCTATTGCATTAGTGAACTATTGCATTGATTGTATGCCATATAGGTTAGACTTTTCTTATATTGATTTATTTTATAAGCTTATATTTGTGGTGTATCAATCTTATTGAAGTATCAAGAATTCAATTATGTCTTGATAGAATATCAATGCTAAGAGTTTTGAAATAGTTTTGTTTAAAGCAACTTTGGTTATCTTGTGATTGACTTGCGTTAGAAGTATTCAAGTACTTAGTAACATTATGCATTATTTCATTTGGTTTAATTCATTGAGATCCTTCCAAGCTCTGTTGTTTTTATATTTTACTTCTCTGCTTTTATAAAATCGCTAATTTTGTATATGGGACATAAAATGTTTTTGAAATTGTCTTAAAGGAAAAATAGTTTATTCATCCCCCCTTCTATACCTTTGTGTGTCCATATTCTCACCCAACAAGATCCTTGTCACCCCTCGGAGTAACATTTCATTTGCTAGACTTCATAGTGAAGATACTTGCCACGCCTTAGGCTAATATTCCTTTTGCTGAACATCATAGCAAAGATCCTTGTCGCCCCTCGGGGCAACATTTCCCCTGCTGAACTTCATCCCGAAGATCTTTGTCGCCCCTCAAGACAACATCTCCTTTGTTGTAATTCATAGTAAAGATATTTTTTGCCCCTCATGGCAAAATTTCCCTGGATGGACTTCTTAGCAAAGATCATTTTCACCTCTCAGGGCAACATTTCCCCCGCTGAACTTTATAGCGAAGATCCTTGCCTGCCCTTAGAGTAACATGGATAGGCTAATTAAACTCTCGTCTTAGGGACTTAGTTTTTCCTCAAGTAATACAAGAATCAAGAATCACGTCTAAGAGGCGTGAAAGATATCCAGTTTGAGAGACTTGATAATAAATCTGAAGGAAATTTACGATACAAGGCACAGTAGAAAACAATTTTTTTCCCTTTAGTCGATCCTTGCAAATGAGCGTGATCAGTGATAGAACCAAATACCTCTTGTGGTAATTGAAATGTTTGATTCACAACTAAAAGTGTGATCATGAGTGTTGAATAAAGAACAATGCCTCTACTCAGTACATATGAACAGAGTGCCTTCAATCTCAATGTTAGTTACTACGAATGAAGACATTGAGTGAGTGAGTTAGTGAGCGAGAGAGAAATCATGGATAGGGATTCACAAAATAAAATTTCATTAAGTGAGAAAGCTTATGCACAAGGGTTCTATTTATCGAAGCATTTGTGTGGGATGCAAGCTAAAATTCTCACTTAAGTGCACCATACCTTATGGAAGCCTTCTAAAGCTTTGCTTCTGTATGTTCCAAGATCTGAAGATTATAAAGACGAGGTTATGTTGAACAAGTTCTTATCATATGAAGAAAAAACAAGTTCTTATGACCAGGTGCTGAAGACTCTGAAGACAAGGTTCTGATGGAACAAGTTCCAAAGAATCTAAGACTTAGGTTCTAAGACATAAGAGTGATTCTTCTACAACAAGCTCCAAACATTCAAATTATCTGAAGCCTCTGAATACTAGAAGACGTTCAAAATGATTAAAGTGTGATGGTGTACAAAATGTACAAAAAGTGCTCTGTGACTTCTACCCTCTAGGGTGGCGTAAGGACAACTCTTTCGTACTGAATTGTCAACCAATCTTATTATGATCGTTGGGAACAAACAACTGAATTTCTGATTAACTTTCTACCCCTTCAACGGATTTCTTTTACAAGCTATAAATGGAAGACTTAGAAGTTGAAGAAAAGTAAGAATCAACATTACAACGAAAAACCTATCGGGTTAAATCAAACTCAAACAAAACTACACCAAAGCGATGTGCAACTCTTTATAGAAATCTTATGTGTATAGTTTTGTAAATAAGCAAGGAGTTGTTGCTCGTATCTTGGTGTAAAACACTTAGGTTTTCTCTTTGTACTAAAACATTTGTGTAATCTACTTAAAAGAAGCAAATTGTAATACACTGAAAGTATTCAATGATTGTAGATTAATTCATTGAGTGACCAAGTGAAGGTATGAACTCAAGAAGACTCTTGTTGCAGTTTGAGTGGATTTTCAATAAGGATCGACTGGATTATTGGGGTGTCAATAAGGTTGACATGACTTATTGTGGGTTGTCTGTAATCAGTTTGGTTATAGTGGATTAAGTCATTGTTGAAGGCAAATCACCTTGAGGGATGGACTGGAGTAGTTTGGTTAATAGTGAACCAGGATAAAAATAATTGTGTTCAATAATTTTTATGATCTAAGTTAACTTGGTCTTTCATCAACGGAAATATTTAAAATTATTTTTGGTGAAACCCAATTCAAACCCCCTTTCTTGTATTTCTCACACCTTCAAACTGTAGTTTACGGTGTTCTACAATTCACTTATGTGCATTATACTTTACGATGTTCCTTATTTATTCTCTCTCTCTCTCTCTCTCTCTCTCTCTCTCTCTCTCTCTCATCAAACCGTCTTTATGTGTGTGACCCTGTAAGTTCTCGTATTTAACATAATAAACAGTGAGTGATATCTAGCAACACGTCATTGCTACCCAAGTCACAAAAATGTCATGTGATCTGAAAAAATCTTTCTGTGATAATACTAGAGTGTATAATTACTCTTGCCCTTATATTGAACACAAGGAATATACCGTGTTATCATTGTCCAATTCAATATTGGACCCTTATACATTTATCCTGTTACACAAGATGGGGAATTCCATCTAGGTCACTCATGTCTCTCATATTCATACTTATATTTAAGACTTGATAA